CAAACGTATATACACTAAAGAAACATTTCCGAACGGACAAGTTTATGTTTACCTCCACAAAAGCCGCGAGAACGCCTGGCCCCTGCCCTCTAGACTCGTGCAGCCGGAACGCTGCTTCGTTGGACAGCCTTGACAATTGTGTCGCCTGGGTACAGAAATGCGGTTGGACAGTTTTAATACACATACTTAATACCAAAATGTTAACAAGTTGTACCATTCAAGTATATTACCATGTATCTTTGAAGCGGGGCTCTCTGTAGCTGTGTGTCCTCCCTAGTGGTAACGTCGTACACATCTTCGATGACATCTTCCTCCGAGTCCTCATCAATCGCCACGTCAGTGTACGGGGGCTTGATATGTGTCCTCATAGACCTGTGAAGCCACCGCAGGTACTCATCGAAGGTGCGCTGGTTGTGTGGAGGACCCTCAAGGACCGCATGTGGTACCCTGTTCTGCCACAAATGGATCCGCGAGCGGTGTGTCACGCGCCAATCCTTGGTCTTGTACTTCTTCCTGCGGTCATACCTGCAACAAAATGATGTTAGTTATACCGAACAAACCTATGAATTGTAGCATTGTTATTAATCGATAACGCACCCGTGCAATTCTTGGTTGGTGGAGTACAACGGTGGTGGGTAGCCTATCATTCTTCCAAATTGTGTGCAGACCCGGATGGGTAAGTGAATCTCGACCACATGAAAGAAAATAAGAGAGACGTCGCAGCGATACTCGTGTGACTCGTCCCTAGTGACAGGACGAGATAGGCCTGGAGCTCCGGAGAATCCCAAGAACATCGATGCACCTGAAATTTTGTAATTGAGTTAGGCTGTGATATAGTGTACATCGAAGAAGACACATGTATGATAGTAAAGAGAGCGTAACCTGGTGCCGTATCAGGACATTGAGACCGTCCGTATACTCCTTGTACTTGCGCCACGCATTCCCTACGCATTCCCTCTAACTAACTGTGCTTCCGTCCAGATATACAGAGCTGTAGGGAGTGTATCATGCCTGTTCCATCGCTGCATTTAACACGATAATGAATTAGCCACTAATAATCTCATCATATCTAACTGCCTCGAAGAATATAATGAACCGAAGTATTTACCGGTAAACCATTATTAAGGGGCCTCCCAACGGATAATCGTTCCAACACCAAACCTAGAGTAGGTAGGAGCAACCCTCAAGGTTTGCATAGCCTAAGGTGCGACGGCAGACAATGCATAGCTGTCGATACGTCCATGCCAGGACTGCGCTGCCCCAGCTGTACGCCGCTATGTTCTCCCACGGCTGGTGAAGTATGTCTAGGAAGATCCAGCTGATGGTGTTTCCCGAGGCGTCTGGGAAGAGGAAAGCACCAAGAAAGTGCCAGAGCCACACTCGAGCGAACCTGTCGATCAGAGCCTCCTCAGCCTGTGGGTTCAGGTAATCAAAGCGCTCTGTGATCCAGGACGACGAAACACCAGAACTTTTCCTGAAATTGACCAAAGAAAATGAGACCCCATGGCTGCAGGAAAGCAATGCAAGTATTAAATAGGCTTGAATTACTCACTTATTTTTCTTGGAAGCATCGTCGTCCGGTGGAAGAAAGCCAGTAAACTGAGCCACCAGCTTCCTCCAGTGATCGTTGTCAACTATCCCTGTCACTAAAAGTCCCTCCAACCGAAGGCCTAAAATAGCCTTCACGTCCTGCAACGTCAAGGTCATCTCGCCACAAGGTAGGTGGAACGTGTGGGTCTCAGTCCTCCACCTGTTATAAGAATAGAACGACTGTTAGTTGCCTCAAATTTGTTACAAGAAAGTTTACGTATAAAGAATGCACTCGCACCTATCTACAGCTGCAGTAAGTAGTGCTGGGTCAAGGGGCGGAAGACCGTGGTTACCAACACGGACAAGCTCGAGGAAGCCGGCACGCCATATGTACGGCACATAACGCTCGTCCCACTGGTGCGCCCTGGTGAGCGTGCGAGGCCTCAAAGGAGGTAAGGCCACATCTGCGTCGGTGTCACTCAAGATATGTGCTCGGTGCTGGTCGTTGTACTCCACCTCAAGAATAGGGTACAACGGGTGCTGCGTGGGAGGAACCGTACTATTACAAATTGATAAACAGAGCGTTAGAGTATTCGAATTAACAAAATTAAAATTAACATTAGTAAGTTCAAAAACAAATTCACTAACCTAACTATCCTAAATCCCTAAACTCAAAATCCTAACTATACTAGATAATAAATACATAATCAATCCATAAAATCCCTAAACCCTAACTAAATACAAACAACTATAAACTAAATACATAATTCAATCCTAAACCAAAAATCCCTAACTAAATAGCTAACTATAAACTAAATAACAAATACATAATCAATCCCTAAACCCAAAATCCTAACTATACTAGAACACACTACCTCGAACCTAAAAACTACCTACGTAAATCACAAACAAATTCACTAACCTAACTATCCGAAATCACTAACGTTCATAAATCAATAACAATCATAAAACCCTAACTATTCTACATTACTAACTATCCTAAATAACTAATTATCCTAAATCAATAATAATAAAAAATATATGAAATCGAGAGGGAGGTACCTTAGGAGCGGGCGGACTTGACGCGTCGGCGTTCGTGGCGTGGCCGGCGCGGGCGCTGCGCGGCGGGAGTGGCCGGGCGGGCGCGTGCGCGGTGTGGCCGGGCGCGGGCGCGTGCGGCTGGCGGCGGCGGCGGCGGCGGCGGGCGGGCGAGTAGGGCAGGGGTGCGTGCGAGTGGGCAGGGCTCGCGTGCGGTATTTATTTGGCCCTGCCGCGCCACGGATCAGGGCACGGCACAGCCGCGCCAAGGTCGGTGGCGCGGCAGGCCTTGCCACGTCAGCGGTCACAACTTCTGGTCGTCGCCACGTCAGTCCTCTGCCGCGCCGCCATGCATAGTGTTAGACTTAAAATTAGTTTCGAAAAAGTGTTAAAATTTAAGAAAAATCCCCTGCTGCTCGTCGTCTAGCGCGTGATAACTGTGGCGAGTGTGGCGCAGACCGCCACCGCCACACCTTGGCGTGGCCAACCGTGGCCAGGAACCAAGCAGGCTCTTAGACGTGCAGCTGCTGGGACGATGCCGCTTAGCTTATATATATAGCAGCATCCGGCTGATGGGACGTCGGCTAGCTGCTTAGAATAAAATGAGCTTCGCGTGAGGTGACAGGAAACTTCCGTTTTATTTTCTCTCTCGGTCCTTGTGTGGAGAAGTATGAAGTCAAGTCAATGCAAGGTTGGTGTGTAGACGTGTAGTGCGCCCAGGGAGGAACACACCAGCCCACGGGCTGCTCTATTTTCTTCGTTGCAAACCGTGCTTCTTCAACAGCCTAAAACAATCTTCTTGGACAAGGATCTATTCTTCAAAACATAGTGTTAAATCAATGTCCTGATCTACTACCTTAGACGATGCGGATGCACTTACTAGTTAATCTATTCTTGCGCTAATGACTATGTACTTGAATGATTTGTTCTGGGGCCTTACTAAAGGCCACGTGCGCAGGTGGATAAAAATCTGCCCGCACATCTTCTCCCCGCCCAACCTACTATTCTTCTTGTTCTCTTGACCTAGCCATCTTCTCCCTTCCAGGCGCCTCCTCGCCCGCCGCCCCTCGCCGCTGGCCGCACGAGTGCCCCTCCTCCACCACCTCCCACCGCCCCCGCGCGGCCGCGGCCGCGGCCGCGAAGCTCTGGCGAGACCCTACCGCCCGCGGTGACCTCCTCCTCCCCCTCCCCCCTCCCGCATCTGCCATGGCGCCCCGCCCCGACCTGGCCCGGTCGCCTCTACCGTCGCCAGGCCCCCTAAACCACCCGCCGGCCTCCCCACCGCCTGGCCGGCCTCCCTCCCCCGAATCCCTTCCTTCTAAGGCCGCCGGGTTAGGGTTGGTGGCGGCGGTGGTGCGGTCACCGGAGTGGGGCAGCATCTTCTCCGTCTCCAGCGGTGTTGCGGCCTTTGGCGGCGTAGGCGCGAGCGTGGCCTCCAGCAGGCGTGGGCATGGGTGTGGCCTAGGCGAATCGAACGGCTGGGGAGAGCAGCAGCGCGCATCGGACGGCGGATGCGGGTCCCGTTCGCTTCGCTGAAAAAACAAGCTGAAACATTGTTCCGGCTGATTTGTTGTGAGAGAAAAATACTGTTCCGGCTGAAAAGATAAGCCGAAAAGTACAGATTATAAGAGAAGCGAACAGAGCCGCGGTGTGTATGCCGAGAGAGCAGATCCTGCGCGCGGGAATAAGCACTCCCGATACAACTGACTATACTTCTGACAATACTAGTGAATTTGTTCGACTTAGCTTTCTTACTTCCCTCGATCGTACTTCTACTAACATAGTAGAGACTTAGAGTTATTGAATAAAGAAAGCTGACACGTCTTGATCATGGAGTCAGTTCTTGGCGGTGGTTGCCTTCCTTATCTTAGGAATAATAGAAACTGAACCCAAGACAGAGCTTCCAATTTTAAACTGGTCGGATTCCTATCTCAAATGATAAAAAATGCTAGTAGTTAAATGAACACAGTCAACGGATAAAATGTGCGAGAGAGAGAGTTTCTGCCTTTCCCGAGGGAAATGTAGCTTTCATTAAGCGGAATGAAGAGAAGCACTCTTTTTTGCGATCAAAATGAAGCACTTAAGATGCATTTGGCACATAGAATCGGCTCCGATTCTTCTGAGAATCAGCAAACCTTTCTACTCGAAATGGTTCCGAGTAATTCTCACTTTTCTGCCTACGAACAAAGAATTGGTGAAAATGTGATTCCACGGCGATTCAGATCTTGTAGCCAAACAGTTAGATGATTCTAGCTCGTCATCCAAAACGTTTCTAAAAAAGACAGGATCTGAAATGTTTTCTACGAGAATCTAGATCGGCCTTATTGATCCAGATTTATTATTAAAAACTCTGTTCACTGGTGAGAAGTCCCGTTTTTCAATAAGCTCGACATCAACGCTTTTCTTCGTAATATAATATGTGACGTCCAGCACTAGCAGTGACAATAATAAGGATGAGCAAGGCTGAAGATGGTGGTTGACAACTTGAAGAGCGCGAAGCAAAACGCAGAAATGGCGACGACGAGCGCAAGCACCGCCCATGGGCTGCTGCAGTGGTCACGCAGGAACTTGGCCTTGTGCCTCCGCCAGCTCGAGTGGTAGAACTGCCTCAGGTCCTCGAACATGCCAGCGAACATGTGGCTCTTGTAGTTCAAGGTGCTGCAGTCGCCCAGGTGCTGGAAGAATTTGGTGGCCGCGTCGTCGTCGCCGTCGAGGAGGTTCTCGACGATGCCGCGCTTCTGCAGGTGCTCCACGTCCTTGCCTGTCCTCACCAGGGCGCCCACCAGAGCCGCGTAGCTCGACAGCCGCCTGCTGGTGTCGCCGTCGCCTGGCAGGCCCCTGGTCTGCTCGAACGCGACGAGGTTCACGAGCAACGCCACGTTCGCGTAGTCCACCTCCATTCGCGGCATCTCCAGGACGCCGCTGTCCCTGTCGAACGCGATGTCGAACATGTGGCGAGGAGACTCCTTCTTCTCGAACCGGACGCCGGCCTCGCGGAGCTGGGTGACGGACGGTACCACCAGAGTCGGCGCCGACGCCGGCGGCGTGCGTCGGATCATAGCCAAGAGCTTGCTGAACCAGGCGCCCACCTTGCGGAGAAGGGTGGCCAGCAGGGTCGTCTTCATCCAGTGCGGCACTCGCGGCATGTCGCGGATGAAAACGAACCTTGTGGACACGGCCTTCTTCAACCTGACGCCCATCTGACGCAGCTGGACGAAGTACTGCAGCGACGGTGGAGTCGAATCCTGGACCGACGCCGTCTCATCGTCCCTGGGCATGATGGCCTCGTAGAAGAGATGCAGCAGGTGCTGGATGTCGGATTGGACCAGCTCCTCGGCCGTCGACAGCTCGTAGGAGGAGAACTTCAGACGGTGAAGGATCAGCCTGAGGAGATCCAACTTCGTTGCCGTAGGAGACACCACGTGGAAGAGCGCCTCGAGGACGAAGAAGGGGATCTGGTTCTCCAGCAGCAGCAGGTCGGAGTGCAGCAGAGGAAGAACCCAGGCGACGTCGCAGAGCTTGTCCGGCTCACCCTTATACCACTTGGCGAAGAACTCGAGGATGAAGCAGCCGTCAAGCATCAGCATCTCTGCAAAGCCGTCCGGGCCGGGTCCGCCGGGGTCGCCATCGTGCCGGGACTGCTCTTCTTCGATCTCCCCGCCGCCCGACGGTTCGCTCTGGGCAGCGGCGGCGGCGGCGAAGATGCTGGTCCTCTCACTGTAGCAGAGCCGCGCCTCCTGCTCGACGTCGCGGACTGCTCTGACGTAATCGCCCAGCGAGGCTGCCGGCTGCGGCGGCCACCCCATCAGCTCGCGCATGTACCTCCACTTGTGCTGCTCCATCGCGCGCAGCGCCTCCCAGCCGCGGTAGTAGGGGCCGATCGACACCAGCCGTGGCTCGTACAGCTCCTTGCTGGCGTCCCGGACATGGGCGGGGACACGGAAGATGGTCATCCTCCTGCTCTCACCCTCTCCATGCTGGCGGAGCCTTCGCTCAACCACGATTTCCAATCTATCCGCCGGCTGATGGGCTGCTGGTTCCACGGTAGGCGCCATGGGAGCCGCCGCCGCCGCCGCCTCTGGCGTTGACGGGGCGGTAACGAAGGACTCGGTCTCGGTCGCCATGGCGCGTAAGGATGCCGTGATTTGCTGGAGCTCGCAATCGTGGGCACGGCCACGGCATGTATCTGTTCATCAGTGACGACTTGAGTGCTTGACTTGGCTACTTGGGAGTCTACCTTAGCACGACTGTGCAAGGAGGTCGCCGTGAGAAGCCAAAAAAGAGCTCTCGCAACGTCGAAGTGACAAGGGTGTACAATAGCGCGCGACCTAATGCTTGTTCGGCAGTGCTGGCGCCCCGACGTTCGGATGGACGCCCGCGTGTTGCACTCTGCTTCGCGCACTCCACAAGGAGCCCGTGTCGTCTGAGCGACAAGAGGGGAAGGGGCTGCGCCTCTGATTCGGAAGGACCCAGCCGTGGCGTCGTATGGATGTCCTATCAACGCCGGAAGGAGGACACACCAAGACGATGCAGCAGAAAGCGAGGAGGAGAGATGCAACGCCAGATCTGTTTTTAAAACATCCAAATACAACAGTTGCAATATACGTCTAAAGGCAGATGAAACACTTGAAATAAACATACTTTTGAAACACTTGAAAGAACATCTTAAAACACTTTAAACCATCGTAAACATACGCAACATTCAGATAAAACACATACAACGTATGTGTGAAACATATGTAACATCCAAATAAACACGCTTGCAACATGCGTTCGGAAAACACAGATAAAACATTGGTAACATATCTTTGCAACATACGTGTACAACCATTGCAACATCCCGATCTACTTTTGCAACATCCATCTAAAACACTTGCAGTATACCTCTGAAACACTCAAAACATATGCTTGCAACATGCACTTTCAGCAAAACATAACAGCCAGGCGGGTGGAGCACAGCACAGCGGGATCCCGGCTGTGCGACCCTCGGCGATAGGGCGCATGCGGTGCCCGCGGTGGAGGTGATAGCAGCAGTAGGGTGGTGTGGCCTCGCACGGCGAGCATGCCGTGGCGGTGCGGGCACGGCGGCGGTGGAGAGAAAGGCTGGCGTGAGGCACAATAGAGAGGGAGGCTTGCGTGAGCCGTGGCGGAGCCGGGCGCGGAGCGGAGTCGCGGCGATGCATGAATTTTATCTGTGGTGACCGGAGGGGAGCTGATGGAGCGGATAGAAACGGCAGCTTTTGGACAACGGGTCCACCAACAGGGACGTCGGGCGCTATGTTTGACTCCCACTCCCAGCATTACCCAGCATTACCGATACTTGTTTGGGCGTCGCTCGCTTTGTTCAGTCGTTCTCGGAATGGCGACCAGGAAAGGAAGGCAGGAAACCCACTGCATCGTGCCTACCTTCAAGTGAGGCAGAGGTTTTCCTTTTCTCTTTTTTTCTTCTGTAATTTCTTTTACAGAGATAAACCCAGTTTTTATAAAAATCATACGAGCCAACTGGCACTGTACAACTTCACCTAGCGTTGAACCATCGAGCTTAATTAGTTTCTGATAGAGATAATCAAGGGAGGCTCTCCACTTCTAGGGTGCGTTTGATACAGATTTTGTAGTCGCTCTTGAAACTGTTTTGCGCATCGATCAAAACGGGTTAATAAGAAGCAACCGCTCCATGGATGAATCTTCGGAAAACGTGCTCTCAAAAGTACCTGGCACCAAGTCAAGGTTAAAAAATTGGCTTTGTCCAGCTCCTTTGTTCGGCACTCGGGTCCACCCTCAACTATCTGAAATTTTTTTTGAGGGAATTCGCAATTCCATTAATCAACCATGTCGGCTAAATCGCCAGACACTACGAACATGATACAATCCGGCACTCCGGCCAACACTGAGGGCTGAGCTTCATCACACCTACTGCCTAGAGCAGCTAATTCATGAGCAACACGATTACATTCACGCGGGGCAAAGCACACTAGACAATGCGAAAAAATTTCAACTGTCAGCTCCTTCACTTCATGCACAAGTCCTCCAACCAGGGATAGTCTGAAATCATTCCCATGGAGTGCGTTGATAACCTGTTTGGTGTCGGTCTCAAGCACCAGGGTCTGGACACCTAGCTGCACCGCCGCGCCTAATCCCTGGATACATGCCGTCAGCTCCATATGCAGTGGGCTGCAAGCAAAATCTTTTCGACCCCAGCCGGATTGGATGACTGCCACCATCTCATCCCTAATCACATATCCCCAACCTCCACTTGCCTCAAAATCTTTGAAAGAGCCATCAACGTTCATTTTCAGCATATCCTGTACAGGACGCTCCCAACTACGACGCCCTTGTCTGGAAGTCGTAGCCGGCGTTAGTGAGCCCGATTTCATGATCTCCAGTGTTTGCCGGCAGCTTAGAATGGCTATGTGTTCCGCCGATCGTCTCAGATCACCTTCGCGAACTGCATTTCGCTCATGCCACCAATTATTCATAATGAAAATTACCTTCAACCGAATGTTTCCTTCCAGCTGCAGGATATGTCTCACTGTTTCTTTAGCGCTTTGACATTGGCTTAGCTTGCATCTTATTTCCTCCAAACCTGCTGATCTCCACACGTCCTTCACCTGCTTGCAATTAAAGAACAGATGGCTTCCATCTTCCCCCACACGACCGCACATAAAGCACCGGTCCATGACCGCAGCTCCTCGCCTGTTCAGATTGGTGCAGAGCGCAAGAGAGTTATGCGCTAACCTCCAAAGGAAATGTCTTAATCGGCCCAAACCATCAAGTTTCCAAATTGCAGCCCAGAAAGTTTCCTCGGCGCCTGCATCTGATAAGCTTCAGCTGCCTCGCCATGTGGGCTGTTCCTCTCAATATCATCGCAGAAGACTCTATAAGCCGATTTCACTGAGAACAGTCCTTTGGGATCGAAATGCCAGGCCAGGACATCATCCATGTCCGGGTGAACAGGGATGGCAAGTATCTGAGCTGCGTCTTCACTCCAGAACACACTATGGACCAGCTCCCTATCCCATTGGCCGGTATTTGGGTTTATAAGATCAGCTACTCTTGATAATAAATTTCCAGATCTTGGAGTGATTGGCCGCCGTGTGACCCCCCGGGGGATCCAAGGATCCGACCAGGTTCTAATCCTCTCGCCACCACCCACACGCCATATTAGCCCCTTCTTCAACAGCTCCACACCCTTCAAAATACTCCGCCATGTATAAGATATCCCCTCCCTGGGCTTTGCATTAAGTAAGTCACCATCTCGAAAATACTTAGCCTTTAGGACCCTTGCACATAGGGAGTCGGGGTTTTTGAATTAGTCTCCAACCTTGCTTTGCTAGCATGGCAATATTAAAAGCATGGACATCTCTGAAACCTAGGCCACCTTACTTTTTTGGTTTTTTCAAATTCTCCCAACTAAGCCAATGCATCTTATTCTCTTTGTCATTTTGGCTCCACCAATACCTGCACACATGTCTGCTAATCTGATCACACAGCTCTTTAGTTATATCAAAACAGCCCATGGCATATGTAGGAATAGCCTGCGCCACTGCCTTAATCAACACCTCCTTCCCTGCATTTGAAAGGAATTTCTCTTTCCACCCCTGAATTCTTTGCCAGACTCGGTCCTTCAGAAAACCAAAGACTTGTGATTTGTTGCAGCCCACATGAATTGGCAAACCCAGATATTTGTCGTTGAAAGATTCTCTATTAATCCCCATGCATTGCATCACAGCTGTCTTTTTAGACTTACAAGTATTTTTACTGAACATAATAGCTGACTTGTCCTTGTTGATCATCTGCCCCGAGAACTCCTCATACAAGTCCAGGATACCCTGCAACTTTGCTGCATCCTCCCCGTTTGCCCGAATCAGGATCAAAGAATCATCGGCAAACAGCAGGTGAGAGATGCTTGGAGCGCCACGGCAAATTTTCACCCCTCCAATATGACCATCATCCTCAGCTTTCTGTAGCAAAGTAGAGAAACCCTCTGCGCAGAGCAAAAAAAGATAGGGTGATAAGGGGTCACCCTGTCTAAGGCCCAGCTCCGGAATAAATTCATCTGTGAGGTTGCCATTAAATTTAACCTTGTACTTGACAGATTGCACGCATTTCATTATCATCTCCACCCAAGAAAGAGAGAAGCCCAGCTGGGTCATCATGTCTCTCAAAAAATTCCACTCTACCCGATCATAAGCTTTGCTCATATCCAACTTGATAGCAGCATTACCCGACATTGCCCCTCCTTTTATTTCTCATGTAATGCAGCAACTCATAAGCAATAAGATTATTATCTGAAATTAAACGGCCCGGGACAAAAGCACTTTGCGAAGGAGATATTATGCTTGGTAGAATAATTTTGAGCCTGTTAGCTAGGACTTTTGACACCACTTTATATAACACATTACAAAGGCTGATAGGGCGTAAATCTTTAACTTGCTCTGGATTCTGTACCTTATCATTCCATCCCGATGGAATGTCGCCCCCGTTCAAAACATCTAGGACCTCATCGGTGACCCAGTCCCCGACAATGTCCCAACACTGCTTGTAGAAAACTGAGGGCACTCCATCTGGTCCAGGGGCCTTCAAATCACCAATACTGTCAAGAGCTTTTTTTTTATCTCCTCCTGGGTAAAAATGCCGCACCCAGGAGATCATTCATCTCTGGGGTAACCCGAGGTGCAAAGGTGTTCAAGAGCTGATCAGCAACTCCATTTACATTGGACGATCTGAAAAGATTCAAAAAATAGTTAGTGATCACATCCCCCTTTCCCGCCTCCGACTCCACCCAATCTCCTCTATCATTTTTCAGCCGTCCCACTCTATTTCTCTTCCTCCTTTCTGAACACACAGCATGGAAAAAGCTAGTGTTCCTATCTTCTCTCTCCAACCATTTCACATGTGCCCTTTGCTTCCAGTAAATATCTAATTGTTCCTCCATGCGGTCAAGCTTAAAACGGAGTACTTCTTCTCTTGCTACCGACTCTTGACTGAGATTCCCACTCTGGCATCGCTCCAGCTCAACCTTCGCCCTCTTAATGCGCTTCTCCAAATCTCCAAGGACATTTTTGCTCCACGAGGACAGGGAGCCCGCAACTTCTTTAATTCTATTAGCCACGCTCACTGATGC